TGAAGGTTACAGGGAAACTTACTCTTTTCCAGTATGAGGTTGAGGACATTCTAAATAGTTTTCAGAAATCCAATGTTTGGTCACACCTGTGTCAGCTTCAGCTTTTCTCTTCTCTCCCCCATGGTGATCTATCTTCACATTTTGCAATCCCTCCCATTTTACTAAGCTAAAAGATTAGAAAAATCTGCTTGCTGCCCATATGCGCACCACATTCTACATTCCCTCACTTCTGCTCAGAAATGAATATTCCCAGGAAAAAAGAACCCAGAGTTAGCAGACTCACCACACACTGGGGTTCGTACCCCAACTGCCCAGAGACCAAAGTTGCCAGTTTAAGAGAGGTGCCTTCAAAGCCCAGAAATGCACAGCACACTAAATCCATTTTATTGCTATCACCCATCTCTGTGTCTCATGTTGGCCTACAACTCTTTTGATTTTGTCATAGGTTTTCTCTTTCCAGATCATAGATGTAATAATTCTCCCTGCAAAAACTCAAATGATACAGAAATATATGAAAAAGAAATTTAAAAAGCCACTGAAGCATGCACACCCCTGCCTTCAAGATAAATGTCGTTAACAGTTCAGTGTCTACACATATATAGACACATCCATGCACAGAACATTTGACTGTTAAAGAAAAACGGAATCATACTGGACAATATCCTAGACAAACTTCTGAATGAATAGATGAGAGTTTGGCCATTCACGCAACAAACACTTATGGAGGGACTACTGTGTGCGACACACTGTTCTAGAAATGGGAAATGCAGGGGTGAAGCAGAGAGAATCTCTGGATTTGCATATATTCTGAAGGGGAGAGACAGTCAGTAAGTATTCGGACAGAGACATAAGAGCATCTCAGAAAAGGATGGTGTTACAGAGAAAACCATATGCTGTGCAAACACCTAAAACTAATACAAAAAGTGTTGGATGCAAAAAAACATGTTGAACAGTTTTATGTAATTCTATGTTGTATGATAAAGCATTTGGCTGGAAAAAAAAAGAATAATGGGAAACTGAATGATAAAGGTGGGGGAGGGGCCTCAGAGGAAGTGGCATTTGAGCTGAAGCCTGAGTAATGAGGAGGAAGCAGCCATGCCAGAAACTGTGGGAAGAGTATTTCAGGCGGTTGGAAGAATAAAGACAATGAGGAGACAGAAAAACCGGGCATGTTGGAGAAAGTCAGTGTTTCTGAAGCTTAATGAGAAGGGTAGGGTGGGAGGAGGGGAAGTTGGAGGCAGGTAGGGGCCAGATCACATTGGGCCCCTTTGACTGTGCTGGGAGGTGTCACTGCAGAGGTATAATCACAACCCTGGGTGTGGGGGAGACACATTGTTCACTGAGTGGTGTTGGGACGACTGGCCTTTCATATTGAAAGTAAGGTAGCTATGCCACATCATATACACAAATAAGCCCCAGATGGGCAACAATTCCCATAAACAAAGTTAAAAGATTAGCAAGAATTGGGAGAAGATATTTGCAATATGTATGTGGGAAGAAGAATTGATAGAGTATATTGAATTCTTACTAATGGTAACACTAATAACCAAACAGGAAAATGATCAAATGATATAAACTAGCAATTCACAGAAGAAAAAAGTGTATGGTCCGTAAGCATAAAAAGATAATCAGCCTTACTAATAATCAGGGAAATGCAAATGAAAACAACAAAATGAGGTACCGTTTCATAGTCATATGGATGGACAAAAACTTAAAAGTCTTGCAGTAAGAAGTGATGATGGCCCCTGTCTTATGTGCTGCATGGAAATTATAGCTACTTTGGAGACCAGTTGGCATAGAGGACACAATGGATGTATAATTACCCACGGCCCAGCAATGTCCTTTCTAGTCAGGTGCCAGAAAGACTCTTGTGCTTATGCACGTGGAGATGGATATAAGGATGCTCAGGACACATGTTTGTTTTAGTGGAAAGACTGAAAAAACCTAAATGTTCATATGTAAATAAAATGGATGAATAAAATGTAGATGGCTATTTAATGAGTTACAATTCTACACAGAGGTTAAAAAGAATGAGCTCTATCTATTTATCTATCTAAACATGATCTCTTTCAACAAACATAAAATTAAATGTCAAGCACAGGTACAGATTGCTACATATAGATAACATAGTACCATTTTTCTTGGTTAAAAAGAACATGCAAAAAATACTCAATAATAATCAATTGTTTGCAAACTACAACTAAAACCTGTTTTTGTGTGTCTAAGAGTAGCTTTTACATTTTTAAATGGTTGGAAACATTTTTAATGAATAATATTTAATGACACATGAAAGTTATAGGAAAGTCAAATTTCTGTGTTTGAAAATAAAGTTTTATTGGAACACAGCCAAGCCCATTCTTCTACTTATTATCTATGTGCTGCTTTTATTACAAGGGCATAAATGAGCAGTGTTGGCAAAAACCATAGAGATTGCAAAGCCTAAGATATTTATTACCACCCTTTGGCAGAGAAACTTGCAGACCCATGTTCTGTATTGTTTATGGACATTATTTTCTAAATGGCTGGAAGTATATCCATCTAATTCAGAATGCTGGCTGTGAGTGGAGGAGGAGAGGGGAGTGGAACTGAGGAGATCCATCAAGGGTCTCTGTAATGTTTCTAAATATGAAAAAACTGAAAAATTGTCAGCTCTGCCTGGTGGGAATACAAGTGTTTGTTACATTAAGTCCTTGTATGCTTCCATACTTTTTTAAAGCCTTGGGAAAGGTAAAAATAAAAATATATTTTGTAGACATTATTCTGTATCAGTGCATACAAACTACTGTATACGGTCTAACAGTCGGATAGTAGTCTACTTTGCAGGTAATAGAAATTTCTTTTTGAATTTCCTATTTATGAACCTTTAAGTCCTTTCAGTTTTTGTTATCATGAATAGTACAGCAAATATCTTCATATTGCATCTTAATGCATTTGTGTAGTTATTTCCATTGAACAAAATCCTAGAAGTTGGATTCCTTGGTCAAATAAAAAATTCTACATTTAAATTTTTGATATATATTGTCAAATGACCCCTCCTAAATGCTGCATCAAGTTACCTTGAAAACAGAGTGAATATTATTGTTTTTTGCCAAACTGGTAGGTAACAAGTGTTGTCAATTACAGTTTTAATGCCAGGCTCAGGATCATTCCATGAAATTACAGACTATTTGATATCTCCTTCCTTTCAATGCCTGTTCAGGTCCAACAGTCCAGAAGGAATTTGGTGCTGAAAAATAACCCACAATTTACACTTTTAATCAAGTTGTACAGTTTAATAGCAGGAAAGATGCTTCAGGAATCACTCCGGGACAGTCACATCATTTTCTCTAAAAGAATGAGGTTAAATTTGGAGCTGGCTTCTGTCTTTCCCTGTAATCCATTTTCTTCCCCGCCCCCCAGAAGCCTGCTTTTCTTAAGTCCTTATGGGATCTCCTCTAAGTGTATTTGAATTCTTGAGGTGCTGTGTTCTTTTTATTGCTTTTTAGTAGTTTCAAAATCTCAAAACTGCTGTAGCACTTTCTCCCTGGGTTTAATCCAAGCCATATTGACCATATTCTGAGGTGTCACTGATTTCATTGCTGAGCACCACAAAGCACGTGATGCCTGTGTGTCTGTGAGGTCCTTTCCAATTCTTGAACATAGGTTGAGTTTACAGGTTTCTAATTATCCGGCTCGCCAGCTTGTACAGCACCTTCATGTTCTGCTATATCACGTGGTCTTTATGACTCTGGTCCCTTGAGAAAGAGGAAAGGGGATGGGTGTCCTTAGCCTCTTTTCATAGAAGAAATAAAAACTTCAAAAGATTAAATGAATTGCCCCAAATCACCCAGTTAATAGTGACAAGATCCTTCGACTCTGAGTTCTACGATCTTTTAAGGTTCTAAGATGAAATAGAAATGTTTATATTTTTAACTTTCTGCTGTAATCTGTAAGATCCTCTAATTCTTTGCCAATTGTGTGCACTTTGGGTAAGGATTTCCAGAACTTTTTTTTTAAAGCCCAGAAACATCAAAGGCATACCATTTTAAAGAAGGAAATTTATGATTTTCTAGTAACATGTCAAAACGTAAAATTTAGGTTAAGATTTAGTTTGTATAATTTATTCTTTTTCTAAAAGTCTGTAATCATATGTAAACTCAAGGTTAATTATGTGTATATTTTGGCCTCATTTGATAGGAGTTAAAAGTTCATTTTATAACGCATGTATTATAGAGTCAAGGAAGAGAAGTAAAATGCATGCCCAAGGAAACACATACCAATAAGATGCCCCAGTACAGCTGTCTTTCAAAACTCATTAGCTGTTCCTGATGAAGCTCCAGTTAGAACCATGCAGTCAGAGCCACGTGGGGAATATGCTAACTGGGAATCAGAGTAGAAAGAAAAAGTATCTGCTTTTTATTAAGAGTTGAAGTGTGTTATAATTGGATTGAGCTGCAACCCAGACAGCCCCCTTCATGCTGACATCTGCAAAGTGCATATAAAACTGTGTTGAGGTGTTATTTTCTGTGGCTGCGTGGGCACATGTCATTTAGTTAAAAACCAAGGCTTTGGGGGTCATTCATGCTGACTCCCACTAACCCACGCTGAGAAAGCTTGTGTGTCCCCGATTAGGGAGATTCCCATGTGTTTCACTATTGGAAAAGAATTGAAATTCTTTAAGAACAGTTATAAGTGTTTGGTCTTTGATCTGATACAAATCAATGACAAAAGTATAGATTTCAGGCTATCAGACTCCACATCAGATTCACAGTAGTGAGAAAATGTCACTTGTAAAAAATTGCTTCTTTTAAGTGAAGTGGCGAAATGTAATGTCCAAATACATCTTTGCATTTGATTGGTGTTGCTCTAAATGAAAAGTTGAGCTTAGATTTAGTCAAGGAGAAACACTTCTGCCTATATAAATTGTTTTTCAAGTATTTTAATGGATGCATTTACTATTACGTAGTTGAGCTGGCTGCCATGTTTTACAAGTTATTAACAATTGATGTACTCCTTGTCAGACAACAGAAAGATCAGAGTCAATGGAACCAAGGAACCCATCGAGTTTAAATCGAATCAGTGGTTTGGAGCAACAGTGAAAGCTCACAGAGGGAAAGTGGTGGTGAGTATGAGTTGTGGGCTCGTGGGGTTGCTCTCTAATAAAATGTACACTGAAATGCTTTAAAACTCATGTTTACAAAAATCCTTTCATGTGAGAACATGTCAGACTTTCCAAGATAAGCTTATCAGCATTTTAAATCAGAAATTGAGTGCTTAAAAATTAAAGAATCTATTTTAGCATTTAAAGCCATAGGAAATAAAGCTTGTTTTCCAGAAGATCAATGAGATATTTTCAAATATTTCAAAAACAATTAAGGGAGTTAGGAAAATAAAAACTCCACCTTAAAGAGGTGCATTTAAAGGGCTGATTAAAAAGGACCATAAGAATAGGACTACTACTGTTATGACTCATGAAAGATTAATATATTGTGGTGTCATTGATCCTTTTTAGAATAAGGGAATGCTTTATTTAACAATATAATTACTAGTTACATACTTCTCTGAGTACATCCATACTTTTTAAAGTAAAAAATGCTCACTCCCCAACTGATATCTTTCAGATTTAAAATGTTATGACTTTATGATTCTATTCTCTTATTATTTCTGAGCAATGATACATGTCTAAGCTATTGAGAAATAAATTGCATTAAGCTAATCTAAATATTTTTGGTTGGGGGAATTTTTTAAACCATTGGCTTTAATTCCCTTACAACAATAAAGCAATAATTCTGGCTTTTATGGTTTCTTTAAAGCTGTTTGAATTGTCATTTAAAAAGTATCTAACTCCAAAGAAAATGCTTTGCTTTATTTGGTGTGTGGTTATCCCCACCCCCAAAAGACTGTGACATGAAGCAGGTAACATAAAATATACATAGCTCTAGTTACAAACTAGAATGCTTGCCCTGCCCAAAGCCCTCCTACTTTTCACCATTCGCACCTTATGTGAAATGTGTTAACCACGTAACTTGTCAGCTCACTAAGAGAGCCCTGAGATAAGAGAGCTTAGATGAGGGAGAGTTTTGTTGTGTCCAAGACCTCACAATACATGGAGCAACAAATCCAAGAAACTGACCTTGTGGAAGCACCCTACTTATTTGACAACATGAGTTATCTTTACTTAAAGTAGTTATACCTTGGACTGAATGCCAAGGACACATTTGGAATCGTGAAAGGAATTTAAACTCAGGATCAGCCTTCACTTTTCTGGCTTTGTTTTCACTCTGATGTCACTAAATTAGGAGATAAGCTAGTGGTTCCAGATGCTAGCCATCTGTAACTCTGGGTCCTTAGAAGTGACTGCTTGAGTGATCAGGATTCGAGCTAGCGTAACAGAAGTCAAAAAGGTGCCTATGTTCTCTACACACTTATTGTCATGGCCCCTCTCATTCCTAGCAAAATTAATGTTACTTAACTTACTTAGAGAGGATTTCATATATCCCCCTTCACATGTCATATCCCTTCAAACACTGTGCTCTTGTTAGAATTTAAGCTTCTGAAGAAGCAACCAGAATATTTTGCATGAGTCATGTTTTACTTACTGTTGTTTAAATTAATTTTTGGTTTGCCACGAATAAAAACCAGTAATTGAAAAATAAAGCCAAGAACACTGTGATAAGAACTTAGCATATCCAAAAGAAAGTCATTGTTTAAAAAGTCACATAAGGTACACCTTTAATGACAAACTAGGAGAATCAACAAAATAAAGGTATATAAACTTGTCTGCATCTTTTTATTTGAGAGTAGTTTTTTTAAAAAAGATATTCATTTGTTTGTTTTTAGACAGGGGGGAAGGGTGGGAGAAAGAGAGGGAGAGAAACACTGACGTGTTGTTGCCTCTTACATGCCCCATACTGGGGACCTGGCCCACAACCCAAGCATGCGCCCTGACTGGGATTTAAACTGGTGACCCTTTGGTTCACAGGCCAGGGCTGTTTTGAGAGTAGTTTTTTTTTTTTTTAAAGCAACAATTACACAAGGAATGGAACTAGTTCTCATTTTAAGGCATCACACTGATTAATTTACTGTTTAAATGACCATTTGCTTTTATGTAGATCCAATTTTTTAAAAAAAGTATGAGTTCTTTGCTTTAACAAAAAATAACTTTTGCCAGGTTACTTTTATTTAATTTAAAATCCTCTGGGAAAAAATGCATTCCTTTGAATATGTTTAATTTGTTCCTATTGTATGGTGCATTAATGTTAACAAAATGGCTCTGGAAATTTAATAAACTGTGACTATGAGGTACTCCTTAGCATGCTGGAGGCCAATTAATTCACCTAATAGTTAACATAGGTTGTCACAAATTTGAGTATATTAATCAGCAAGTCAAATCAAATCATAGTACCAGGAGCCTACATCAAAAACTATTTACTGCCTTTGATGTTTCACAGGCGTGCGCCCCCTTGTATCACTGGAGAACTCTTAAATCCACACCAGAAAAGGACCCAGTTGGCACTTGCTATGTAGCAATTCAGAATTTCAGTGCATATGCTGAGTACTCTCCTTGTCGAAACAGTAAGTTGTTTTTATTTCTTGAAACAAATTTAGCTGAAGAGCTTTTTGGTTGCAGACACTGCAGGGGATGTCAGAAGGCCATTGGTAAGGAAAACAAGGTGGGCAAAGATCGCTGACAGCCTTACAGGATGTCTTGCTGTGACACGAGGGCCAGGACGTGGAATTCTGCTGCTCCTCTTCCTTGTTTTAGAAAATTTCTGGGTTTTAGATATTTTGCAGTAGAATTGATTGGTTTCTTATTTTAGGGCTTAAACTCTCAGTTGGTGTTCAAAATTTACATGGTGATCTAAGGAATGCTGACTCCCCAGTTTACCTGTTAATCACAAGAATGGTGTTAGTGTAAATAATAAATTAAAAGGAGCCACTTTAAAATGGAGCTGGAGCGGCCATCCCAGAACTGCCTTATGCATCTTATGCCTTAAACCTTGTAATGTTATAACAGGGCAAAATACCCTTTGGACTGGGCCTAAAGCAACACCGGGTCCCAAAGAACTGTTTGCAAAGATAACAAGAAAGCAGATATTATGACTACCTGACTGATGGCTACTGGAGTGAAAATTGAAGACTGTTTAGAATTAGCGTCACTGTGTTAGCCTATCTGCACTGACAGAAATGTCTTCCTTCTGTTTATGTGATTGTTCCCCTTCCCTTTCTTGGGGCTATCCCTTGCCTTTGTCTTCTGATCAGAACACTATTTGGGGCTTTGCCTGAATCAATAATTCCCAAATACCCCCTATTACTGATACCCCCTATTACCTCCAGCATGCCCCCACCTTAGTTCATGTCCATGGGTCATTCATATAAATTCTTTGGCTTCTCCATTTCCTACACTGTTCTTAAATCTCCCTGTCTATTCTGTACCCACTAATTTGTACTTCTTAATCCCTGCTCCTTTTCCTCCATTCTTCCTCTTCCCCCTCCTGACTGATAACCCACCATCTATGTGCTCTCCATATCTATGACTCTGTTTCTGTTCTGCTTGTTTGCTTAGTTTGGTTTTTTTTAGAGTCAGTTGTTGATAGTTGTGAATTTACTGCTATTTTAATGTTCATAGATTTGATCTTTTTCTTAAATAAGTCCCTTTAACATTTCATGTAATAATGGTTTGGTGATGATGAACTCCTTTAGCTTTACCTTGTCTAGGAAGCACTTTATCTGCCCTTCCATTCTAAATGACAGCTTTGCCAGATTGAGTAATCTAAGTTGTAGTTCCTAACTTTGCATAATTTTGAATATTTGTTGCCAGTCTCTTCTAGCCTGCAAAGTTCTTTTGAGAAATCAGCGAGCCATCTTTTTAGGGACTCCTTTGTAGGTAGTTTTCTGCTTTTCTCTTGCTGCTTTTAAGATTCTCTCTTTATCTTTAACCTTTAGCATTTTAATTATGATGTGTTTTGGTGTGGTCCTCTTTGTGTCCATCTTGTTTGGGACTCTCAGTGCTTCCTGGTCTTATATGTCTGTTTTCTTCACCAGATTAGGGAATTTTTTTTCATTATTTTTTTTCAAATAAGTTTTCAATTTCTTGCTCTTTCTTTTCCCTTTCCAGCACCCTATGATTCAAATGTTGGTATGCTTGAAGTTGTCCCAGAGGCTCCTTACACTATCCTCATTTATTTTTATTCTTTTTTCTTCTTGCTGTGCTGATTGGATGTCTTTTTCTTCCTTATGTTCCAAATCACTGATCTGATTTTCAGCTTCATCCACTCCACTGTTGTTTCCCTGTAAATTGTTATTTATTTCACTTAGTGTAACCTTCATTTCTGTCTGGGTCTCTTCTATGCCGTTGAAGTACCCAGTGAGTTCCTTGAGCAGCCCAATAACAGTGTTTTGAACTCTGCATCTGATAGATTGCTTACCTCCATTTTCAGTTCTCTTCCTGGAGTTTTGTTCTGTTCTTTCATTTCAACCATATTTCTTTGTCTTCTCATTTTGGCAGCCTCCTTGTTTGTTTCTGTGTAGTAGGAAGAGCTGCTTTGACTCCCTGTCTTAGTAGCATGATCTATTGTAGAAAAATGCACTGGTAAGTTGGATGAAGTGGAGGCTTAGGTGATTGCCAGGGTGGAGCAACCCATGTCGCCACTGTGTGGCTCTGTGTGAGGGAGGGCTTAGAGAGGGGATAATGCCTTTGCATTACCTCTGGAATTTTGTCTGGAAGGAGGCTGTCTCCTGGCACTGGCTCTGATGCCAGACACTTCAATTTCTCTCCATATTTCACTTGTGCCCTTCCAGCTATTGCCCTGGTGCCGAAGCCCAGAGGGAGTGACTCTGCATAAGTTCTAAGTCCTTTGAGGGCCCTTTAAGAGGAGACTCCTGAGAATCCTATGGTCTGTTCCACTGCCCAACTCCCACTGTTTTTACAGCCAGAAGTTATAGGACTTACCTTCCTGGTGCTGGAACCCTGGGCTAGGTGGTGTGGTGTGGGGCTGGGATCCCTTGCTTCCAACATATTCCTCTCAATTTTTATCTACTTTTATCCACTTTTATGCGGATAGATGCCCTATCTGCATCTCCACATCTCCATGCCTCTCCATGTGTCCGCCCCTCCTACTTGTCTGGATGAATGTGGCTTCTTTAAATCCTTGGTTGTTGGATTTCCATACTGCTCAATTTTCTGGCTATTCTGGGTGATATCTGTTTTGTAGTCTAGTTGTAATTTTTGCTGTGGTTGTAAGAGGAGGCAAGCTGTGTTTACCTACACCTCCATCATGACCCAAAGTCCCATATCCTAATCCCTGTTTTTCAAAAAGACTCTCTACATGTAGAGTCCTTGTCTCATTTGGAAGTTTAAGGAGTTTCCAGGGAAGCATCCTTTAAAGTGAGTGTGTCCCTGTGCCACCTCAGAGGCACTAATGTTTAATCACTTCATCTTGGTGGCATACCTAAGGACGTTGGGACATTATTAGTGACTAATCAATACACTCAGAGTCCACCTGTGCATTCTCCCACTTTTTTTATGTATCATGTAAGTCATTGAATTTATCATGAAGCAACTGATAAATTTTTATTCTTTTTCTTGATAATTCACAAGACAAGACCACATTGAGGAAAATGGTGTTAGAAAGATCATCTAGTGAATGATTTCAGGGTATTGATTTTTAAAATTCAATCCAAAATTATATTCCCAAAACTATAAGTAAAATTTATGTATTTCAGTAGCTATTTTTAAAATTTGAGATTACTTTAGACAAGATAATGAGCAGATATAAGAAACAAATCAGGAGTTCCAGCCAAGATGGAGGCATAGGTAGAAACCCTTTGCTTCCTCACACAACCAAAAGGAGGGTAACAGCCAATCTAAAATCAATAAACAACTGGAAGTAGCAGAAAGTCAAACTGCATGGAACTCCCAACAACCACAGAATTACAGAAACAGTCAAACAGAACAACCAGACTGGTAAGGCTGCAGATGGTGGGGGCAGGGCAGGTTGTGGCAAGAAGATGGGCTGTGAGGAAGGGGCTGACTTAAAGGGAAACTGAGACTCAGAGCTGGCTGTGGACTATGGCAGTTGCTTGCCGAGGTGGGAGAAACTCTCAGTCTCACATGAGAGTTTGCTGAAAAGTGCTCTAGGTATGAGCAGGCGAGCTGCATTTTTCCCTCTCTGGCCTCTCCCTCATAGGCAGTGCCACATCACGGCAAGCAGGGCTGCCCTGCTGCATGCATACCTAAGGCCCTGCCCCCTTACAACTTAACAGGGCCCCTGAAAAAAGAAATAGGGCCAAAATGAAAGAACAGAGCAAAATATCAGAAAGAGAGCTAAACATGAGGATATAGCCAACATATCTGATGGAGAATTTAAAGCCCTGGTAATCAAAATGCTCACAGAACTGATTGAGCTTGGTTGAAAAATGAAAGAACAAATGAAACATACCCAAAATGAAATAAAGCAAAATATTCAGGAAACCAACAGTGACAGGAAAGAAACCAGGACTCAAATAAATGATTTGGAACAAAAGGAAGAAATAAACATCCAATCAGAACAGAATGAAGAAACAAGAATTCAAAAAAGTGAAGAAAGTCTTACAAACCTCTGGGACAACCTGAAACATTTCAATATTTGAATTATAGGGGTGCCAGAAGGAGAACAACAACAGGAAGAAATTGAAAACTTATTTGAACAAATAATGAAGGAAAACTTCCCCAATCTAGTGAAGGAAATAGACTTCCAGGAAGTCCAAGAAACTCAGAGAGTCCCAAAGAAGTTGGACCCAAAAAGGAACACACCAAGGCACATCATCATTAAGTTATCCATGATTAAAGATAAGGAGAGAATCTTAAAAGCAGCAAATGGAAAGGAAAGACTCACCTACAAAGGAGCTCCCATAAAGCTATCAGATGATTTCTTAAAAGAAACTTTACAGGCAAGAAGGGGCTGGAAAGAAGTATTTGGAGTCATGAAAGGCAAGGACCTACATCCAAGATTACTCTATGTAGCAAAGTTATCATTTTGAATGGAAGGGCAGATAAAGTGCATTCCGGATAGGGTCAAGTTAAAGGAGTTCATCATTACCAAGCCATTATTACATGAAATGTTAAAGGGACTTATCTAAGAAAAGGAAGATAAAAAATATGAACAGTAAAATGACAGTAAACTCACAACTATCAACAAATGAACCTAAAAAAATTGAAAGAAAAACAATGAAAACAAAAACTAAGCAAACAACTAGAACAGGAACAGAATCAGAGAAATGGAGATTAAATGGAGGGTTTTCAGTGGGGAGGGGAAGGGGGGGAATGGGGGAAGGTACAGGGAAGAAGAAGCATAATTGGTAGGTATAAAATAGATGGGGAGAGGTCAAAAATGGTAGAGGAAACAGAGAACTCAAAGAACTCATATGTACAACCCATGGACATGAACTAAGGGCAGGGGATGCTGGAAGGGTTGGGGGTGCAGGGTGGAGGGGGGATAAAGGGAGAAAATTGGAAAAACTGTAATAGCATAATTAATAAAACATAATTTAAAAAAGAAATAAATTGAGGGATATAAATGTTGGATGAGTGATAA